GAACTCATATTTCTCTTAAATTTGTATTTTTTGATTATAAGTGATAAAACTTGAAAATCTACCTGTTTTGTTTAACCCTTTCTCTCCAGTTTAATGAATATGGTATTATTCATTTATCCTAAAGCTAACTTGTTACAAACATATTAATTTTTAATGTGTAACCATTTTTCAAAACATTATTCAGTATTTAAATTTCAAGATACTAACTCAGCCTATCATTTGTTTGATAGTGTGAAGCTAATGTTTGTATGGTATGCAGCAATACATTTTTATTTTAGAGTTCTCATTTTTCATAAAATTACAAGATAGAATACTCTCATCATTTCCTGCTCTTATTTTTAGGATCCTGTGAAAGAGGGAGAGTCTAAAATTAAGCAAGACTTTGAGGAACTGCTGGAAAACATGCAACAGACATTCAGAAACTTAGAGGACTAAGGACCATGTACCCTACTAGTTAAGAGAAGCCAGCTGGTCTGAAATTGTCTCCCCATTAGTGTATTCATGTGTGTGTGATCATAGGGACTGTTAATTGTCAATTTGAGAACAATGACAGTTTGTTTCAATTCTAATATTAATCTTTCTCTGTTTTGTTGGAAATGTCTCTTCTAGCTGGTTCAGTGATGCTAATGCAGATTAGAATTTTATTCCACCAACAAATCATTATTTTTAGGGAAAAATAATTTGGTTTTCATTTTTTTAAAAGTATAATTTGCATAAAAACAAAATATTATTATTGTAGTTGTAAGTGGTGTTGTATTCAAACAACCAGTGTTGAAATTGACTAAAGTTTCTGGTTATTTAGTCATACACTTGGAAACAATGAATCGGGCTTTGCTGGACATTAAACAAAATCTCTAGTTTGAATATCCAATTTGTTATAACCTGTATACAAAGTAACCGTATATATTGTGCTGTTTTCCATGCAGTAATATTATCTCATGCTCCCAATGATTGTTCTTGATGTGTTAACTTGTGTGTTAATAAAATGAACCTTGTAAGATACATAAACAATAAACAATTTGAAATTTAAAAGTGATGATTCTGTATTGTAGTATACAGATAATTACATTCTGGGTTGTTAGTTATAATCAAGCAATAACAGATTGGTGTATTTAATTTTACTTTCATACATTTGAATGCATACTTGACCGCAAATTAAATGTTTATTGTTGAGAAATGTATCTATGAAGTTCCTTTATCAAGAGGTTATTACATGGTGTTGTATAGTTATTGTAAGTGTTCTTGGTTGTATTTAGGTTAATTATCAATTTGTGTTGATTGTTGACATCACTAAACAACTTTATCAGAACATCATATGATGCTGGATATAAGGTTTATGTAAATATCAATGAACATTCCTTAAAGTCTATGAGGTTTCTAATGACTTGTGGTCCTTTCCTTACATCTCTTAGAAAAAAAAAGTTTTTTTTATATGTGGAGGGACAAAAAATTGGAATCCATTTTAAACTAAGTAAAATTAGGTTTATTTTAACTAAATTATGAGACATTCTTGAAAAACATGTTGTCAAGCTTGCCATGAAAGATTTCTCTGAATGGATATCTTGATTTTCTTAATTAGTTAAAGTTAATTTAATTAATAATTGGTATTTTTATCTATTGTTTTCAAACATGTTTGCTCAAGAACAATATACATCAGCTGTGTGTCATTTCACTAATAGTTCTATTATCCATCTGGTTGAATACTGGTATTATGGATATCACTTTGATTTCCTCTGTTTAAAATATTTAAGTTATTGCCTGGTTGTTTTATCACACATTATATTTACATTCAGTAGCTGATATTATGTAGATAGTAAACATGTAAAAGTTCAAAAGACTTGATGTTACAATTAACAAATCTAGATCAAGAAAACATTGTCGTGTAACAAAAACCATACATGATTAAACATTCTATTATCTCATGTGTCTTCTCTGTGTCTTTTATTCATATTACTGCCAATGTTTTCTGCGGATTATGTACCAAATAATGGTTAGCAAAAAACCGTATGTATAAGGGTTGAAATTTCAATTTTGTATTTTAATTGAACACAAAATACCAACAGTATTAAACGAGGTCAGTTAAATAGAAGAAATACTTATGTTTAATAGTAGTAATAACAGCACTAATTCAAACTTTCAAGAATGGTTTTAAAAAAGTTTAAGAAAACTTAATGCATATTTACATTCATCTATTAGTTACAAGTTGTAAAAATCTTTAATATCTAAAAACGTATGTATTATTATATGTGTACCTATCGATTTTTTTCCGTATTGATCTGATTGGTTTGGAGATTGTATAAACTCTCCACAGTATTTTTCTTACAATTCAAAGTTACTAAAACAGTAAAATGCTGTCTAGTTAGTTGTTATTGAACAACAATATTTTCGACAAAATTCATCAGTCTTTGTACCGTTGGAAGATAAATTCTATGTACTGCTGTTTTCACTTATAACTCAAGTGGAGTCATTCAAAAAAACTGAAGAAAAAAGAACCAAGACTTTTAATATTAAATTTCGACCAGAGCATATTACCAACAGCAAAACTATAAATCAACCTAGTGATGAGTACAGCTACTTAAGTATTTATTTCTTGCATTCTTAGTTACTAAAATTAGAATGCACTATTTGATCAGTTGAGTACTGTCGCATTTAACGATATTTTACGAGGATCGGTCAGCTCAGATTTAGGTTAGTCCTAAATCTACATACTAAGCTAACGATACAAAGTAATCTTTATAAGTATAATAATAAAATACATTAAAACTAGATATGTTAAATATTCTAACCAATATTGTTAGTGAAAATAATATTAAAGAAATAATGGTTTATCTTTCTTACAGAACATTATAAACAATAGCTGTTAGCTTCAATTTCTGTCGTATGTTTAATGTTCGTTGAACGAGTAACATTATTATAACTGTATATAAGCAGAACTTTCCACAGATAAATGTCTTGGGATAAAGAAACATTAAGTGGCTCCGACGGTGTGACATTAGAGGATCCTTACCTTTCACATAATCTGTTACGACATATGTCACTGTTTAGATATGGAGTCCAGTATTCAGTATTAGAGCACTACAAGAGTACAGATAAGAACTAGTGTTTATGAAGATACAAAATAATAAATGAATACTTGAGTCATTCAATACGTAGAATAATAAATTTAAATACATATTGCAATCTTAAATGCAACAGAAAGAAAACCTGTATTAAATACTAAGGTGTGTTTTACACACTAACCTCTATCTATCAATTAACAAAACGCAAGGAGCGGGCAAGAGGAAGTAAAGAATAAAGTTAAATCTTCTGTGAAACCCGAAAAGTAATCATGATGAGATTAGAGAAAATTCAGTGGTGTGATAAAGATGTACCGGAACGTGTTTAACCTTGTAATGTGGGATTCGTTCGAAATAATGACGTTCCAGCTAAAACAAAATGCAGGTAGGCCGTGCTAACACCTTCCCACCCCATTATACCTCTGATAATACTTGCAAAAGGAGGTTACAACAATTTATATATGTAAAGGCGAAATATGTGTTTGCACCCTAACTCCTCCGAACCTATTTGGTCAATCTCAGTCAAAATTTGTATGTAAAAACTATGAATTATGAGGAATGTCCTAAAGGAGTCAAAATTGAATTTAAACATATTTCTTTATTGTAAAGCCTGTTGTTTAATTACTCCCAGCCTATTGAGTCAATCTGAAACAATGTTAGTAGGTTGACACTTTAGACAATGTTCAATATTCTAAAGGGATTCAAGATGAAATGATGAAAGTTGTTGAATTGTTTCTCAAACAACTATGATTTTCTCATGGTCAATGAAATATAGGGTGTTTAATGGTGGGGTCACGTGAAAAATCTTTATTTGTTGGTAGATGGAAAGCAAACTGCAAATGTTGTTTATGAAGAAGCTTTGTTAAAGTTTTAGAATTTTGAGATAAAGTTCATGATCAAGTTATTACTTTGAAATATATGGTTGCTGTTAAACGTTTAATTAAGTTTAAACATTCCCCCGTCAGTTGACGGGTATTTCAGCTTGTGGGAAATATGACAAAGTAGTTAGCAAAAATAAACATGATTAATAACATAATGCTATATCAAACGTGATTACATATGTGCAATAAGAGCCTAAACTAATGGAGGTAAGACTAATTGTGGACAACACACTAAAGTGGATCACTATTTCCTTAATTTCTAAAGGAATTAAAATGTAGATGTAAAAGTTTTGGAATAAAGAATATCATGATCAAGTATATAAACCTACAAATTGTCGGATGAATTATTTGTATTTATTGGAAGATATGCTGACCGAATTGTGAAGTAAGAATTCACGATGGGGTATTTGTGCTCTGCCCACCACGGGTATCGAAATCCGATTTCTAATATCATAAGCCTGCTGTGCCACTGAGGAGCTACATAGTTTAGAATAACTCGTTTAATGTGAAACACTGGTAATTTTTATGAGTGACATTGTTATGGAAACATTTTTACTGGTGCAGAGCAATAATTTCTCAGAATTAATAAAATATATTGAAACTGTTGATGAAAGGCTTTTTAATTTTATCAGTAGAAATACTAATGTAAAGATTACTGAAATCAAAAGTTCCTTTTCTTTTAGCCGTAAAGACTTTAGTTTTCTATTTACATACAATATAATTACAGATGAAAATAAACAGATTAATAGCGGTTCTCTCTCTTTGATAATATTAGATTATTTGTTTAAATGCTCTTTGATGTCAGACCATTATCTATTACAAATGACATATCCTTAGTCGTAGATTTTTTCAGCCCCAGCAATAAATCTGTCTTTACAATGTTTTATGTAGTTAGCGACCAAAAATACTTTTAGGTATTCGTTATAAGACTTAACAGAATATGATAGAACTGTAATGTGTTTCTATATGGCACTTTGTATATCAATTTTAACGTGTTTATACACCTTGTTACAATTTTAAAATTAAATCCTAGTGCTTTACATAAAGTTGTAATAGGATTTTTGTTTACAAATGAAAATGAAGTTGTTACCTGCTTTAAGGGTGAGAGATGACATACGTACTATGTAAGTAATCTAAATACGCAGTAATTTCTTTCTTACCCATAACATGTTCATTGTTGTAAACTGAGAATTTTTTATGTATGTTATGCATTTATGGAATGTTTTTACTTACACATTTTCTAAATAGGATTACTTTTAAGTTCTCATTTTTACCCATTTAAGTAAAATTTCCTCAGTAATTGACTAAATAATTGTTTACAATTAATTTTATGCTGTTCCCGGAATTCAGCATCTTCACTCGTTATAGTCGCAAGTCTTCGTTCGTTCGGATGTCAAAGTTACTGGTGAGTACGTGGTCAGTAGGAGAATAATATTCGGAGATGAATTACGTTCGCATTTAGAGGCTCGAATATTGTGTAACTCCTCAATGTTTATATAACACTATTATAGTTAAAGATGTTACTGTCTATGGCTCTCTTGCAAGAACAGCTACTAGTTGGGTATTTAATTCTGCGAGTTCATGATGTAGGTTCAAGAAATCAATTGAACTAAAAAAATACGATACCCTATACCCGATCGCTTTCGAAAGGTGGACCTCTCTTCTTCAGGGGCATATGTTAGGTAACAAATGTTGTATAGAAGTGTCTGATTGTAGATTCTAACTTAACGAGTTCTATGTTTCCGACAGCAAATGGAATTGTAAGGTAAGTCTTATTTTTATGTTTTTGTTTGTTTGTTTGTTTGTCTGAAGTTAAGTACAAAGCTACACAATGAGCTATTTGTGCTCTACCCACCACGGGTATCGAAACCCGGTTTCTAGCGTTGTAAGTCCGCAGATATACCGCTGTGCCACTGGGGGGGGGCTAGTTTTATGTTCATTAGTTGTTGTTTTAGGTTTAACTGATGACAAAAAATAAATAAAATAAAATAAAATAATAGCTCATCAAATCTAATGAAACCTGTATTTGTATTCGATTGAATAAGGGTAAGTTTGTAAATCGATAATTCTCGGAAAGTAATGTATCAACTTTTGAGAGGTTTTGCTTGGAAAACTTCTCGTAGGTCTCGCAATAAACTTTCATGTGTATTAGCTTTATTACAAGGCTAAAGTGCGGGGTTCGATTCGCTGCGATGGACAGAACGCAGATAGCCCATTGTGTAGCTTTGTTCTAACAACAAACTCTGAAATTCTCTTTGCTGTGTTTTTACATCTACGACTACGTGTAACCGGTTGTGAAAAATATGGATTATTTACAATTTGTCAGATTTGAAAAACATTACATACATTTTAAACTGGATCATTAAGCCTGTAGGGGTAAATTGTAACTGACATTTAAATCTTCACATTGTATGAATTCTATAGATTATATGAATTATTTACAATTTGACAGATTTGAAAAACATTACATACATTTTAAACTGGATCATTAAGCCTGTAGGGGTAAATTGTAACTAACATTTAAATCTTCACATTCTATGAATTGCAAAAATCTTGAAAATTAATCCGCGGGGAGTTAAAGTGTTGATAGAGGAAACTTGAGTATTTTTTTCTTTGCCTCTTAAAAATTGCGAAGTTTTGCATACATATCGAACCTCACATTTTCTCCAGCTAACTAAATGTGCAACATGTTTTACGCCACAGTGTAATTTCCGAAGACTATTAAAATTTACAATATAAACGTTTTGTTTGTAATATATTGTGAATGTGTTGTCGCGTATTATGTGGCCACAAGTTAAGCAGTTTTTATGAAAACATTTTTAAACTATTGAATCATCCAAATCACGAGGATGAAAACTGTAATTAATACAAAGACTACCATCAAGAACAGTTATATTGCTAGTGTCAGAATCTGAGCATTGGGGTCCGCTAACTCGCTTTTCAAAGCTATAACGGTAAATGAACTGACACTAAATATCCAAAGTA